GATATATTCAAACACTATCTGGACATGTTCCTGGGCTACCGGCTCTAGGTGGCCCTACTTGAGCAGAGGGATTGGACAAGATGACATCCAGAGGTCCCTTCCAACCTCAGTCATTCTGTGATTAAATGATGTATAGCAAGAAAGGGTGAACCTGGTAGAGTAAGGCACATTCAATACACTCAGTTAGTTATTGCTTCAGTCTCACAATGTTGTTTCTCTGCAATGATATCCATAAATTAACAGCTATAAACATAATTTTTTTGTAAAAAGATTATGTGCAACTGAAGACAAAAATAGGGTCACGTGCTAACCTACTGTATGCAAATCACACTTGCAATTTATCTCTTTGAATGCAAACTAGTAAGTTGAAAGATACGCTGACAGCTCTGAATTAATGCAATATTTAAAGCAGAAGGACTTGAGAATTTGTAGTAATTGAGAATTTTGACATTTTCTTCACCACAAGATTATACCTCCCCCAACCTAGACTAACTGCTCAAGGACCAGTGGACACTGTGTTAACTCCCCTAGGAGCAGGCATGTAAGCCTTGGCTTCATCCCATAACATGCCAGTCTACTTAGCACTGGGGCCATCAAAATCCAACATTTTACATCCTCAATGAGGAACTGCAGTCTGGTAAAGCATCTGCTTCCAGAGCTACTCATATTTTGTCTATTTTACTGTGGTGGGTTAACCTTGGCTGGTTGCCAGGAGCCCACCAAACTGCTCAACCACTCCCCCTCCTCAACGGGACAAGGGGAGAAAATAAGATGAAAAACTCGTGGGTCGAGATAAAGGCAGTTTAATAAAGAAAAGGAAAGTCCATTGAAGGAATAGAAGGAAACAAACAAAAAAAATCTGTTCTCTACTTCCCATCAGAAGGCAATATCCAGCCACTTCCTGGGAAGTAGGACCTCAGTGTGCATAGTGGTTGCTTCAGAAGACAAACACCTTAATAACGAATGCCTCCCATTCTCCTCCTTTCTCTTAGCTTTTATTGCTGAGCACAATGTCATATGGTATGGAATATCCCTTTGGTCAGTTTGGGTCAGCTGTCCTTGCTCTGTCCCCTCCCAACTTCTTGCCCACTCCCAGCCTACTGGGTGAGGTAGGGGAATGTTGGAGAGACAGCCTCCCTGCTATGTGAGCACTGCTCAGCAGTAGCCAAAACACTAGTGTGTTATCAACACCTTTCTAGCTACCAATACAAAGCACAGTACTATGAGGGTTGCTATGGGGAAAGTCACCTCCATCCCAGCCAGATCCTATACATTTGCTTACAAAACTTATCTAATGGCATAACACTGCCCTTAAAAGCACTCCATACTCAAGAGCTGCAGCTAGGAGACAGTACAGAAACAAAAACATATCCATTGAGTGACACCAGACAATCTCTTTGCCTCACAGTGAAATCAACAAATAGCTCTTCAATACTCACAAACATTTGTTAATTGCTGATGAACATAGATTGAGGAGGTAAGCAACTATCATGGTTGTTGCTGGGAATGAGCAAGAAAAAGAGCTGAAAGAGTTGAGATGAACTGATATCAGCAAACCATGAGGTCCTAGTGATCTCTCAGCTCATAGGAAATGACTTGTGCCGGTGACATTTTTTTGCACGATCCTGCATATGTTCCATGTTGTGCTAAATTCTGATGTTAACCTAGGCCAAAGATTTAGAAGGAGCCTAGTGTTTTGTGCAGGTACTGGAAGACCACAGATCAACAACAGAGGGTCATGCTGCCATCCAGAGGGACATTAACAGGCTGCAGAAATGGGCCAACAGGAACCTCATGCAGTTTAACAAGGCGAAGTGCAAAGTCCCGCCCCAGGGGCGGAACAACCCCGTGCATCAGTTCATGCTGGGAGCTGACCAGTTGGAAAGAAGCTTTGCAGAAAAGAACTTGGAGGTCCTGGTGGACGCTAAGTTGAACATGAGCCAGCAACGTGCCCTTGCCGCAAAGAAGGTGAATGGTATCCTGGGCTACATTAGGCAAAGTATTGCCAGCAGGTAGAGGGAGGTGATCCTTCCCCTCTACTCAGCACTGGTGAGGCCACACCTGGAGTCCTATGTCCAGTTCTGGGCTCCGCAGTACAAGAGAGACATGGACACAGTAGAGAGAGTCCAGCAAAGGGCCACAAGGATGATTAAGGGACTGGAGCATCTTTCCTATGAGGAAAGGCTGAGGGAGCTGGGACTGTTTAGCCTAGAGAAGAGAAGGCTCAGGGGGGGATCTTATCAACATATATAAATACCTGAAGGGAGGGTGCAAAGAAGATGAAGCCAGGCTCTTTCCATTGGTGTCTAATGACAGGACAAGAGGCAATGGACACAAACTGAAACACAGAAAGTGTTGTGTGAACATAAGGAAACACTTTTTTTTACTGTGAGAGTGACTGAGCACTGCAATAGGTTTCCCAGAGAGATTGTGGAGTCTCCCTCCTTGGATATATTCAAACACTATCTGGACATGTTCCTGGGCTACCGGCTCTAGGTGGCCCTACTTGAGCAGAGGGATTGGACAAGATGACATCCAGAGGTCCCTTCCAACCTCAGTCATTCTGTGATTAAATGATGTATAGCAAGAAAGGGTGAACCTGGTAGAGTAAGGCACATTCAATACACTCAGTTAGTTATTGCTTCAGTCTCACAATGTTGTTTCTCTGCAATGATATCCATAAATTAACAGCTATAAACATAATTTTTTTGTAAAAAGATTATGTGCAACTGAAGACAAAAATAGGGTCACGTGCTAACCTACTGTATGCAAATCACACTTGCAATTTATCTCTTTGAATGCAAACTAGTAAGTTGAAAGATACGCTGACAGCTCTGAATTAATGCAATATTTAAAGCAGAAGGACTTGAGAATTTGTAGTAATTGAGAATTTTGACATTTTCTTCACCACAAGATTATACCTCCCCCAACCTAGACTAACTGCTCAAGGACCAGTGGACACTGTGTTAACTCCCCTAGGAGCAGGCATGTAAGCCTTGGCTTCATCCCATAACATGCCAGTCTACTTAGCACTGGGGCCATCAAAATCCAACATTTTACATCCTCAATGAGGAACTGCAGTCTGGTAAAGCATCTGCTTCCAGAGCTACTCATATTTTGTCTATTTTACTGTGGTGGGTTAACCTTGGCTGGTTGCCAGGAGCCCACCAAACTGCTCAACCACTCCCCCTCCTCAACGGGACAAGGGGAGAAAATAAGATGAAAAACTCGTGGGTCGAGATAAAGGCAGTTTAATAAAGAAAAGGAAAGTCCATTGAAGGAATAGAAGGAAACAAACAAAAAAAATCTGTTCTCTACTTCCCATCAGAAGGCAATATCCAGCCACTTCCTGGGAAGTAGGACCTCAGTGTGCATAGTGGTTGCTTCAGAAGACAAACACCTTAATAACGAATGCCTCCCATTCTCCTCCTTTCTCTTAGCTTTTATTGCTGAGCACAATGTCATATGGTATGGAATATCCCTTTGGTCAGTTTGGGTCAGCTGTCCTTGCTCTGTCCCCTCCCAACTTCTTGCCCACTCCCAGCCTACTGGGTGAGGTAGGGGAATGTTGGAGAGACAGCCTCCCTGCTATGTGAGCACTGCTCAGCAGTAGCCAAAACACTAGTGTGTTATCAACACCTTTCTAGCTACCAATACAAAGCACAGTACTATGAGGGTTGCTATGGGGAAAGTCACCTCCATCCCAGCCAGATCCTATACATTTGCTTACAAAACTTATCTAATGGCATAACACTGCCCTTAAAAGCACTCCATACTCAAGAGCTGCAGCTAGGAGACAGTACAGAAACAAAAACATATCCATTGAGTGACACCAGACAATCTCTTTGCCTCACAGTGAAATCAACAAATAGCTCTTCAATACTCACAAACATTTGTTAATTGCTGATGAACATAGATTGAGGAGGTAAGCAACTATCATGGTTGTTGCTGGGAATGAGCAAGAAAAAGAGCTGAAAGAGTTGAGATGAACTGATATCAGCAAACCATGAGGTCCTAGTGATCTCTCAGCTCATAGGAAATGACTTGTGCCGGTGACATTTTTTTGCACGATCCTGCATATGTTCCATGTTGTGCTAAATTCTGATGTTAACCTAGGCCAAAGATTTAGAAGGAGCCTAGTGTTTTGTGCAGGTACTGGAAGACCACAGATCAACAACGAAATACTCTTCTTTCTATGAAACTAAGATAATTTCTATAAATTGGCTTCATTCGATATCAGGATTAAATACTGTAGTCAGCCAAACTGTCTTGGGTCCAGCCCTCTGGACGAAACCCAGCTACTTGTCCAGGACTAACAAGCTTCTACTGTCACCTAGGACTTAAGAGTCCACACAATGCATCTAAAAATATTTAATAGTCATCTCACTGTAAAGAGTAGTCTAGGTCATACAAGGACATTTGAAAATAAAATCCAAGAGAAGCAAAAGGCAGATGCAACTGTCTGAATCCAGCAGCATCTGTTAAAAAAACATTGACAACTATCTCTGCTTCTCAATGACAGCTGGCTGTTTCCATGCAGTTCTCCACACAAGATACAAGGTCCTTAATGACTATTTACCAGTAAAATCTGAAAGTAACTAACAGAACCTACAATAAACTTGAGTATAAATTTGACTGTTCCTATTGCTACCCAATAATGTAACAGGAACCAAGATTCAAAAAAAAAAAAAAAAAAAAGGGGGGAAGAAGCTCACGCTGGAACAAAAACTTACAAGAAAAACATTTTGAATGGTACAAATGCACGTGAACTTCTTTAAAGACATCACTGAATTCTCAAGCTCTAACAGCCTTTAGAAAAACATACGAAAAATGTGTCAACTTTAGTGTCATAGCACTAAAGATGGCAACACATGTAGATATGCCTCCTGACAGTATTTTTACTCAGCCCCTCCAAGAACCAATTGCATGTCAGTTTGAAACGTGTCAGCCTGCAGGCTACTTAGTGTCAAATATAGGTATAAAAAAAAATAAAAAATTACTCTTTTGTGCTGTCTTGCCAATCTCGCCTTAGTCTCCTCCAGTTCTTTGTGAATCTTCAGTACATGCTTGTTCATTTTACGAATTGTGGAATGTAAGATTTCCCAGACATAGAACCTAGGAAAGATGCAAAACCCAAAAGAGTAAATTGCACACTATTCCAAGACAGAAAATGTACAGGTCTGCTATAATTCTCAACTCTTCTTATTCAAACCATCAGAAACAGGGCAACTTTCTATTGCTACAGAGCAAGTTAAACTAATAAACAAGTAGAGAAGTGCACAACACTGATCTGAAATATACAACATTTCATGGTTATTACCTAGGACATCTACTGGAGTGAACAAACATTCAATATTAAGAAAGCATATCACTCACTTCTTACCTGCACTTTGCACTGTATTACCAAACCAGCCCTTTATTTCAGAATCATTCTGCAACACCACTAGCATCATGCTGCCAGGTCTGCGCATTTTTTCCCACACTCAGTAAACAATATATCTGAGGGTGATGCAGGATACATGCCCTAGGTGCAAGCTAAGACTCCACCAGGCTAGCAGCTATACAACAGGGTTAATGGTTCTTGTCCAGAAAAGGTCCTAGAGCTTCTCCTTCCACTTTGGCAAACTACAGGCTACTTGCATGAATCTTGCTAGCATAGCTTTTTGCAGGACATAGAAATGCACACTGCAGCTCAGAGGAAAATAGTAAAGCTTGTGTTTTAGGGAAGCAACACAATTTTATGTACAGTTTAAAGCAAAATAATGAAAGTAAAAACTGCAATTATTTTAAATTAAAAAAAAATATTATTCTAACCATTTAAAATAAAAAGTTAAATAAAAAGCAACTGAAGACACAAATTCCACACTTGTTACCTAGTAAAATCATGTGCAAGTTCTGAAGAGAAGATCCAGTTTGCTACTGCAGCACAATCAACAATCTGTGTTCGAATCATCTTATCCACAAGAACAGCAATCATCTACATTTTGGGAAAGACAAGATGGTCATTCCTACCACAAGAAATGGTCAAGTTTACATGCTGCAACATGGAGTCTGTGAAATTACTGCGGGCTAAGGTACAACCAGTGCTGGGTTGTATGAAAAACTATTAGAGTCAAGTTTGGTTTTATGCAACTTTGCAAATACATTAGTCAAACTAATAGGCGATTTTAAACACTTCAGTAAGCTAGTACTGCTTAAAGTAGACATCTCATTTGCTGAACCTAAAAATGCTCAGACTAGGGGAGCTGTATCAATCATGCCAAGTATACATTCACATTTTAACAAGTTGTCTTTACTCCTCATGAGAGTGATGACTTCACTTCTCATTCAAGCGAGTACTTCTGCTATTCCCAAGAGCAAAAATACAAGAACTGAATTTTGAGACAAGGCATCAGAGAAGCAAGTCCCAATAGTCAACATCAGAGTATCCAACCAGAAGACATGTTCCTGTTACATAACCACAAGGTAACAGCAACTGCTATCCTACTTTGGACTGCAACAGTCCCCAACCACAACCATATGCTCTTTCCTGCAGGACCTCTTGATTTTAGAATGAAACCAGCACTGTATATAAGTATTTACAACAAGACCCTACCTTGATGAGGCTTGTGGGAAAATGAAGCAGGTAGCTACAAAAATTATCTTGTGATTAGAACAGCTTTGTGCCATTCAGAAGAAAGGGCCCATCTTAATTATTCATGTACTCCATACTGCAATACCCAAGAAACTTAACCTGCAACATATTTATTCTTGTAATCATCCATTCTCAAATAGAATAGGGAAGTGAAAGAAAGCTCAATTTAAGGTAGAAAACTAAATTAACAGAATGAACCAAAAAACTCATGACTCATTTCTCAATTTCCAAGATAGCTTTCTATACGCATTTGTCTTAAGAAATTCATCCTGGCATTATCCAGATTATCTAGTTTGAGCCTTCGTGTAACACAGACATAGGAATTTGTGAAAGTATTTGTCTTGGTTTGAGCGACACGGGATTAATTTCTCTTTCAGTAATTTTACTTTGCAATAAGGTCTCTTCTAATGCTAGGGAAAACTGCATTTTTAGAAGACTCTAGTGTCTGAATTTGTGAAAATATTTACTTTTTAGCCAGCTACGGTATGCGGGTTTCAAGGTCTCAGTATTTTCGAGCTCATCAGATGCGGGGACAAGGAGAAGCAAAACCCAGGCACTTGACCCAAGCTGGCCAACAGGATTATTTCATACCATGAATGTCACATTCAATATAAATTAGAAACTTTGCTGCGAAGCTCTCTCTCCCCTGATGGCTGCCATCCTGAGAACTTCTTGACCTGCTACCAGATCCCTGAGGCCTTCCCTTCCTCCCAAAGCTGTAGCACTCACAGTGTCCAACATTTGCTGTCCACTGCTGGGAGCGCACAGCTTCCTACTGATAGAATTGGTCAAATATAATCCTTGTATATTTTATATTGGTATCAGGATCAATATTGGTTCTTTAGTATTATTAATGTCAATTATCTAGTCTTATTCTATTAAGTCTGTTTATATTTCAACCCTTGGGTTTCCTTGTTTTTTCCCTGATTTCCCTTCCCAGGTGGGGAGGGGGTCATCGGGTGATAGAATAATTGTCTAAATGACAATAAATTGTTGTTGGTTCCTCAAACCACAGCAGTATTCAATCTTGACGATAAAGTTTCCTTTATGACATCAAAGCCTTTGTGTCCCCAGAAAATAGTTGAGGCTGTGACCATTCATAATTTAAAGGTTGATGTTTCAGGTAGGAATTTAAATATATATTTAATATCTGCTTCTTTTGATTCTTTTATTTAAGAAGCTGTTTTACAATATTTTACCTCTCTTTCAGGGCCTGACTTTTAAGAATATTAAAAGTAATCTTTTAGTAACCCTAGAAAATGGGCCTTAGGCCCAGTAGCAGATGGAAGGATTCTCCAGCACTCAGTGAAATTACTTTTGAAAGTCTGGCTCATGCAACTGAAGCACCAATCACTTCCAGACATAATATCATATATTATAAACACACCAGGGAGAAATATCCAAATAACTAATGCAGAAAAATTGAACACATGTTTCTTACTGATCTCCATTTATAAAATGATGACAACATAAGGAAACAAAAACTGCTGTGAAGAAATTGCATGTTTTAAACAACTAAGGTATTTTTCATAGTTCTTTCAGCACATTATTTCATCAGACTCAGGAATGAACTTTAACCATGGTAGTGTCACAGACGAATATGTTCTGAACATTTGTTGAGAACAGATTTACTTGCTCTGTCTGTGCATAACACTGATTCCAACCTGGTCTTTGTGGCCCATTGTGATTGCTAGTGAAAAACCACACAAGCGCTAAATAACCAGGTTCTCTCTTCAGCCTACTTCTGTGTTACAAGATCTACATCTTAAAAAGCATAAAGCATGAGCACACTGTTCTAATATTGAAATTTTGAAATTTTGGTTTTTAAGTTATTCTCTGGTAAACCAGACATATCACAAAGCTGAGTGTCTTCTACACTGAACTTTTACCTGAAAGTCTCGCTGACAGAGACTAAATTTGATGTCCAGTTTAAGGCACTTAACAGTATTAAAAACAATATCAATTCTTTTAAATACAAAAGACAGTATTTTTAAGTAAACAAAGGAAATTGTAATGCTTTATATTTTAACATGACATTCTGTGAGCGGACACTTCAAAAAAAATCACAGAATCATAGAATTGTCTAGGTTGGAAGGGACCTTGAAGATCAAGTCCAACCATCAACCTAACACCGTCAAAACCACCACGTCTACCAATCTTTTAAATAACTCCAGGGATGGCGACTCCAGCACTTCCCTGGGCAGTCTGTTCCAATATTTGATAACCCTTTCTGTGAAGAAATTTTTCCTAATATCCATCCTAAACCTCCCCTGGCATAACTTGAGGCCATTTCCTCTTGTTTTACCCCTTGTTACTAGCGAGAAGAAGTCAACGCCCACCTCTCTACAACCTCCTTTTTAGGCAGCTGTAGAGAGCGATAAGGTCTCCCCCGAGCCTCCTTGTCTTCATACTAAACATCCCCAGTTCCCTCAGCCGCTCCTCATAAGACTTGTTCTCCAGACCCCTCACCAGCTTCGTTGCCCTTCTCTGGACATGATCCAGCACCTCTGTCTTTCTTGTAGTGAGGGGCCAAAAACTGAACACAGTATTCAAGGTGGGGCCTCACCATTGCTGAGTACAGGGGGACAATCACTTCCCTAGTCCTGCTCACCAGACTATTCCTGATACAGGCCAGGATGCCGTTGGCCTTCTTGACCACCTGGGCACACTGCTGGCTCATATTCAGCCAGCTGTTGACCAACAGCCCCCCCCC